CCCAGCCAGCCTGTGACCTTTTAAAAGCCCATTCAAATCAGGCCCTGTCGGGGCTCACAGGGACCCCACACACTCTGCCCCGGATGAAGTCCTGGGTTCCATTCCTGGTGGCACAGAAAATTATTTTGAGCCGATCGTGTTGCTAGGCGGATCTGAAGGCTGAAGGGAGACGAATGCTCAGCCTCCAAGACCACTCAGTGCTGCTGTTCCCAACCAGCACCCCTTCCCCCGGGGGATGCCAACTGGGTAGGGAAGGGGGGCTAAGGGTTAAGAGGCTGAAAACGGGAGACAAGGTGGGGGCAACGCACCCCAAGCTCCGTTCCTTCTCCTCGGTCCTTCTAGGTTCCCTCCTCCCTTCCCTTTGCTGTGGCTACTGGTGTGGTAACCAGGCCCACATACTTGGTGGAGGGCTGGAACACACCACACCGTGCGTCACCAGAGATGGCAGAGATGGTTGTGGTGCTGGGGAATCACAAATGCCACAGTGCCAGGGCGTGGCACACAGGCAGTGCCAGAATCAGACTCAGAGTTTTGTGCCCAAGAGGTAGGTGCTGGCCACTCTGGGTCTTCCCCAGGCTCTGTCGGCGCCACCAGGCACAGGTGCTGAGAGACCCCTGCTCCCAGCTGGCTGCCTTCAGCTCAGCAGGAGAAAAGGGCTCATGAACAAGCAGCATCTCGGAAGTAAATGCCCCAAATTCAGGCAGCTTTCCAGGAGATCAGGAAAATGGGCCTGAGAAGGCAGCTTAGGATCCAAGTGGCTTTTTTGGGGGGGGTGCTTTTTTTGAGGGGGGATCACTTTTTGGGTCACACCCAGTGATGTTCAGGGGTTACTCCTGGCTCGGTACACAGAGCCAGGACTTACTCCTGGTGGTGCTCCATATAAGATGCTGGAGATCGAACCCAGGTTGATCACATATACAGTCATACTCTCCCAAAAACACACACACATACTCTCACACATACAGGTTGATCGAACCCAGATCGAATCCAAGGCAAACTCCCTTCCCACTGCCCTAGTTATTGCTCCAGCCCCTGAGCCAAGTGACTTTGGGAGCAAAGTGTGAGCCTGACACTTCTGAACATCCAACAAGAATAGGTTCCCCAAAGATGGTGCCATTAGCAAGGACACTCAGACCTTTGAGACCCAAGGGTCATCCTGCAGGTGGCCAGCCTACATGGCCACGAAGTCTCCTCACGCCTTTGGATTTAGGACTCAATGTGACTGCGATTGATTTGCCTCAATTTCCAAGTAAATGTACAGCAAATGATAGAATTTAGAGGGCTTTGCTGGAGGGACCACACCCAGGAGTGCTCAGGGACTCCTGGCAGGTCGGCGCTTGGGAGTTGCTCCCAGCAGCGCTTGGGCTCGAACCCAGGGCTTTCTGCATGTAGAGCATGCACTCAGCCCTTTGAACTATCGTCCCAGCCCTGAAGAACAGATTTGAGTATTCAGTGGCTGAGACATTCTCTTGGCAAGTTCCCAGGCCCTCACCATGACAGCATACATGATCAGTGTCTGTCTCCCGGCTAGAAGCTAATTTTCAAGTGCCTTCCCAGGGCTGCCCACAGCCAAGCTCTGCACCCGCACTAAACAGGCTCTCAAGCACGAGCCCAAGCAAGTGAATCCCTGTATGCAGAGGTTCCCAGACTTATCCGGTCTACCGCTCCCTTTGTGGGCCAAAAGTCACTTAGCAGACCCCAGAAATCAACCTTCTTAAAGTCAATCAACAGAAAGTGAGTGGCCCCTAATTGCACTCAAGGCTACTACTCTGGGTGATTTCTGCTCGCGTGAGCGCGTGCGCACACACACACACACACACACACACACACACACACACACACACACACACGAATCACCTACTTTGAAAAAGATTGAACAGCTTAGGGCCTGTCAAATACAAGAACTGATTCTGGGGACTGGAGCGATTGTACAGCAGGGAGGGTATTTATTTGGCACATGGCTGACCCAGGTTTGATCCCCGGCATCCCATAAGGTCCCTCGAGCACCGCCAGAAATAATCTTGAGGTCAGAGCCAGGAGTAACCCCTGAGCATTGCTGGGTGTGACCCAGAAAGGAAAAAAAAAAAAGAACTGATTCTGAAAGGAGCAAGATGAAAGGAGAGCTGTGCCAAGGGTGGACCCCAGGGTCTGCGAGGACTGGGCCATCCACTCCTCTCACAGGGCCTAAAGCCCCGCAACATGCAGGGCCCCAAGCACCATTGTCAGGGTGCTGCATCCTCAGGCCCTCTCGTGAAACCAAAAGATTGACAATCCCCAGGAGTGTGACCCCTGGGCTTTTTGAGCACCTGTTGGGAGCTGCTCCCCATTTAAAAAGAAAAATCTGTGGCCAGAGCGATAGTACAGCGGGGAGGACATTTGCCTTGCACATGGCTGACCCGGGTTCAATCCCTGGCATCCCATATGGTCCCCTGAGGAATGCCAGGAGTAATTCCTGAGTGCAGAGACAGGAGTAACCCCTGAGCATTGCTGAATGTGGCCCCAAAACGAAACCCAAATAAAAGTTCAACAGTCAACCGACAATGCCTGCACCCAAAGAGGGCTTCGAGGCAGGAGGGAATGAATGCTAAGTAAGGGGTGAAGTGAACACAGAGTCAGGGGTGCTAAGCGTTACCTACAAGGCTGACTCAGAGATGGGAAGAGAGCAAAGAGGGTGTGAGTTGCCCCTCTTAGCAAGTGATTTGAGGAGCTGCTGCACAGCAGATAGAAGGATGTACGGGCAGTTAAGGGGGAACCCCGGAGGTGGGGTGAGGGCAGGAGAGGAATGGGCAGAAGCCTGAGGCAGGAGTATGCTGACAGTACTCAGGAACAGCAGGACGGCTGGGAGCAGGAGTTGGAATGGGGGATAGGGGAGACCGAGAAGGCCCAGGGGGACAGTGACCAAGCAGTGAAGCCAAGGAGCAGAGGAACAACACCCACAGGACATGAATCATGAGGAGATCGCAGCTTCCAAGTGCCACAGGCTGAGAAGGAGGAGCAGGGAACCTCACAGGTAAAAACATGGGAGGACTCGGCCAGGGCAGCATTGCCAGGCATGGGCCTGTTCTGGAAGCAGAGCCAAGAGGACTAGGCATGGAGAGGAAGAGAGAGGGCAGGCCAGCCCGGCAGCTCAACAAGAGTGCTCCGGCCCCGCTGCAGAAGGTCCTGCCTTCCATCCCTGCGCGAAAAAAAGAAAACAAGGCTGGCGATGAGCTGGAGCAATAGCGCAGCAGGAAGGGTGCTTGCCTTGCACTCAGCCAACATGGGTTCAATCCCCAGCATCCCATGTGGTCCCCTGAGCACCGCCAGGAGTGATTCCTGAGTATAGAGCCAGGAGTAAACCGTGAAGATTCACCGAGTGTGACTCAAAAACAAAACAAATAAAAGAAAACCAGGTTGGATACAGTAGAGGGGTTAAAGCACTTACTTGCACACCTCCCACTGGGTTGCTTTCCCTGGTCCCAGGAGCCCCACTAGAAGTGATCCCTGAGCACAAGGCAGGAGCAAACCCTGGGTACCACCAGGCATGGCCCAGAACCCAAAAGGAAAAAGAAACATGCTAAGTACATGTATAGAACATAGCTTGTGGAGCTGAGGAGGGGTAGAGCACCCCCACGGAGGGCCCCAAATGCCTGAAAGCTGGGAAAGGCCCTGAACAGAATCCCTGGACAGCCATCTGCTAGGACTCTAGAAAGTTCCCTAGAGAGCACAACAGGGGATAGTGTGGGGCCATGCCAGGGACCTTGTTGGCCAACCAGCTGCTGCGCTGGGCTTCACTGTTGTCAGGGGGCTGCCAATTAGGGTACCCAGTGACTGCCAAACCCCTTTCCCCTTCCTGCACCCGAGGCCACACCAGGATGACCTTTCTGGGGCCTAATCCTCCGCGGCCACTCTGCCATCTCCCAGGGGCAGATGGCTGCTGAGAAGAGCAGTGGCCTGCAGGGACCTAAGATGGAAACCAGACTGACCAGGGCCTGGGAGACAGTTCAACAGGCAGGAGTCCCATCTCTCCAGCACCACAGACCCTGCCACCAGGAGCAACCCCTGAGCAGACCCTGACACCTCCAGGGATGGCCCCCAATAATAATAATAATAATAATAATATAAACCTGACCCAACCCAGCCCTTGTGGAGCTTACACGTGAGCAAGAGACAGACAACGATCACATCCATGCTGGGCTCACCTTGCACACAGCCGACCAGGGTTCGACTCCCAGAACCCCATACAGGTTCCCCAGGCACTACCAGGAGTGATCCCTGAGCACAGAGCCAGGAGTAAGCCCTGAGCACAGCCAGATGTGGGGAGAGGGGAAAAGTCAGACAATAGCACCCTGGGACGGAGGAGCAGGGCAAGGAGAATCAACCTGGTGCCTGCAAGCAATAATCAACCTGGGGCCTGAAGGGTGCCTGAGATGTCAGAAGGGCCAGGTGCAGAGTGAGAGAGGAGGGGGAGCCAGAGAGGGCGGCAGGCGCAGACGAGCCAGATCCTGACAAGGCTGTCCTGCCCGTCACTCAGGCAACCGGGGGCCACTGCAGCCAAGGAGCTGCCATAATCACTTAGCATTGCTGCTGTGGTGCCTGTCTGAGGCTGGATCCAGAAAGTGGGTGTTAGATCGGATGCCAGGGGAACTAGTAGGAGTCTAGCAGGGGCTCCAGGAGGGACACCAGCTAGCAAGGTCTTTGGTGAGGGGTCAGCACCAACAGGCCTCAATGAGTTGGGCAGTTGAGCCTCAGGAACAAAATCACTCCTCGGTTTCCCATCCTGGTACTCCCTTGGTGCCATTGGTCCTGATGGAGAAGACGGTGGAGAAGCAGGCAGGAAGGGGAGGGATACCCTGATTCTTCATCTCACTTCCTGTGCACAGGCCCACCCGCGTTCAGGGAGCTGGGTATGACCAGTAGGAAATGACAGCAAGTTGGGTAAATGCCGCCTGTCCAGCTGGCCCCGGCTGGCTGAACATGCCTCTCCATCCCCCGAACCGGCGCTCCCAGCATCCCGGTACCTGCAGCGTATCCACCGCCTGGCCGGCCCCAGTTTGGAGCGAAGCCACCTGGACGGCCTGCTTGCGGGCGGTCAGCAGGATCCTGCAGTAGGTGAAGCAGATGGCGCCCGAAGGCAGGAAGAAAGTGAGCCCCGACGCCACCAGGACGAAGGGCAGGCTGGCCAGCAGACGGCACTGCCCCGAGGCGGGCGCCCGCGCCTGGCCGGCCTGATGCCACCCCAGCGACAGGGGCAAGAAGGAGGCCAGCGCCGCTAGGCTCCAGGCGCCCAGCACCAGCGCCACGGCGCGCACGGGCGTCATGCGCAGCTTGTAGCGCAGCGGCGAGAGGATGAGCAGGTAGCGGTCCAGGCTGATGAGGCAGAGGTTGAGGATGGAGGCGCTGCAGCACATCACGTCGAAGGCGGCCCAGAGCACGCACAGGCCGCGCGCCAGCACCCAGCGCCCGTACAGCGCGTTCAGCATCGCGGGCGGCATCACCACCAGCCCCACCATCAGGTCCGACGTGAAGAGCGACACCAGGAAGAAGTTGGACGTGTTGCGCAGCGCGGGCTGCGTGCAGATGAGCGCGATGAGCAGCGCATTGGCCGCCGCGGTCAGTAGGATGACCACGCAGAGTGCGGCCGCCACCCAGCCGCTGCCGCCGGGCTCCGACGGCGGCCGGGACCCCCCGTCTGGGGTGCTGTTGGTGGGGCCGGGTCCTGGGATCATGGGCGCGGAGGACGGTGGGCGAGGACTTCAGAAGGTTCCCGAGGGTCGTGGTGGGGCGTGGGGCCTGGAGGAGCTGAGAACAGACCTCCCACGGATGGGGGCCTTGCGGGGAGGGGCGCTACGTCCAGGGACAGCGACCCCCGGAGGATGGAGACAGGTTTGGGGATCGTCTGAGATGCAGGGAGGAAGTTTGGGCGGGGGGCACCGGATGAGGAGCTGAGCGCCCCTGGCAGGGAGCGGGCGGGGAGCCTGGAGCGGGGGCGCCGGGTGGGATCAGGGGCTAGAGGTGGGGGGTTTCCGGCCGGGGCGGGAGGGAGGCTCCCAGCGGGCGGGTGGCGGCGCACGGTCGCGCCAGGTCGGAATTCGGAAGCGCTTAGGATGGCAGGGCCGGGGATGGGGAGCCCGGGCTCGAGCGCACGAGCCCCCGGCGGGGAAGGCAGGTCTGGGAGCCGGTGCCGGGAGCCTGGGGCTGGGTGGACGCGGCTGCCGGCGGCGTGCGGGGACTCGGCGTGGCGCGGCCGAGAGAGGAGGAGCCGCGGCCGCGCCTCCGCCCCCTGCCCACCCCGCGGCCCCCGCGCCGGGTACCTGGGGCGCACGGCGCGGCGCGGCTGCGGGCGACTGCGGCAGGCCCCGCGGGGCTGCGCTGGCAAGAGGCGGCGCGGGCTGGCCAGGCGGGCGGCGGGCCGGAGCGTCCGAGCCGGGCAGGCGCCGCGAGGGGCCCGCGCGCGCCCAGGAGCCGCCGGGTGCGTCCAGGAGCGCGCGGTCCCCGCGCCGCCGAGCCTGCGCCCCGCCCGGCGGGGGGCGGGAAGAGCCGAGCCCCGGCCTAGCGGGCGGGTGGGGATCCCGGGTTCCCCCAGCACCACCCTCCCGGCCTGCGGAGGGTCGATCCGAGCACCCCGCCAGCACCAGGGCGCCTCCCCGGCTTCGGCTGCTGCACACCCCCGCGCACCCCTCCCCGCCGCACGTGGCGGCGGCGCAGCGGGAACGCTGACCTGCCCTTTGCAGCCAGCCGGGGACATCGCGCAGCTCGTGGAGGCGGCGGGGAGATCTTGGTGGACCGCTTGACGCCCACATACATATTACATGCAATAACCTATAAAACAGTGCCGTCTGACCTTCCACTGAAAGCGGGCTGCCGGCTCCTGGGATCATTTTGGCAGAAGCCATCCGCACAGCGCCAGACACTGGGAACGTGGCCCTTCCAGTGTTAACGAAAGTGGAACAGACTTGGAACTCCCCAGGCCACGTGGGAGCAGAGGTACTACAGGGGATGGAGCAGGTGTGTGCCCCCCATTCCCACTGCACTTTGTGTCTCACCCACCCACCCGGGCACCAACGCGAGCTTCTAGCCACACTTCACGGATTAAATTTGTGGATTCATTCATTTAATAAATATTTACTGAGCAGTACTAAGCGTCAGGCCCTGTTCTGGCCACTCAGCACACTCTGGTCAACAAATGAGAGACTCAGGGACCAGTGCTTTAGATAGTGGGTAAGGAATTATTTGCACAAGGCTGACCAGATAGCATTCCTTGGCATCCCATATGGTCCCCCAGCCCTGCCAAGAGTGATCCCTGAGCACAGAGTCAGAAGTAGTCCCTGGGCACTAATGGGTCTGGCTCCACAACAAAATAAACAAAAACTAGGAATCCAAATTCAGAGAGGCTAGAGCGATAGTGGGTAGGGTTTTACTTGCCTTGCACATGGCCAATCCAGGTTCAATCCTCAGCACCCTATAGGGTCCCCCCAAGCCCCATCACAAGTGATCCCTGAGCACAGAGCCAGGAGTAAGTCTGTGCACTGCCGGATGTGTCTCAATAAAGAAACAAAAAAAGAAAACCAAGTTCATGGCATTACGTCCTAGAGGAAGAAGTCAGACAATAAACAGCATAACAACTCATAGCACCCTCCGGCGTGGGCATTGCTCTACAAGAAAATGTAGAGGGAAGGAGGATGTCTTCTCCCTGCGCCAACCCTGGAGAATACCCCATGAGTGAGATTCTGCAGTATTCCGGGGACTTATGTTATCCCCTCCCCCACAGTAATACTGAGAGGTAATGTTATAATGGGGCTCAGAAAGGACAAGCGCCTCATCCCAGGCCACCTACACCCCGTAATTAAGAGGAACCAGAAAGGCTCAGTGCCCAAGGCGGGGAAGCCTGGGACCCTGCAGCATCCTCACCCCTCTCTAAGCCACTAGGTGGCGCTCAGGGCCCCCCTCTTGCTAGTGCTCAGAAGGCCTGCCTCCTGGTCACCATCTGCACCCCTGTGACAATTCCCCTCCCTCCTCCCTGGGGAGGAACTCCATCTCCTTGGGGCACTATTTCCTCCTCTGCAATTGTCGGCCAGACTGGGACCAGAGAGATAGCACAGCGGGTAGGTGCGTGCCTTGCACATACCTGACCAGGATTGGTTCAATCCCCAGCAGCCCATATGGTTCCCCGATATGCTCCAGGAGTAATTTTTGAGTGCAGAGCCAGGAGTAACCCCTGAGCATCGCTGGATTTGTCCCTTCCCCCTCCAAAATAACAGCAGGACAGTTCTACACCCAGGGCTGCTGAGGGGATGGAACAACAGGTGTAATCATAACTGTGACGGTGTCTGTACTGTTGAGCTCAGTGCTCCCACCTGTTAAATGGGAATATGCCCCTGTTCATTATGACTCCATCAGCTGGGGATTGCTGCTGTGAGTAACAGAAACTCCCGAGAGAAGACTCTGAGTGACCTGGGTTTCTAATCTGCTACCTGTCCTATGAAGGTGGCAACATCTGTTATCTTTGCGATAGCACAGCGGGTAGGGCGTTTGCCTTGCAAGCAGCCAACATGGCCAACCGGAGTTCAATTCCTCTGCCCCTCTCAGAGAGCCCGGCAAGCTACCGAGAGTATCTTGCCCACACGGCAAAGCCTGGCAAGCCTGTGAAGTATTCAATATGCCAAACACAGTAACAATTGTCACAATGGAGAGACATTACCGGGCCCGCTCAAGCAAATAGGTGAACAACGGGAGAACAGTGACAATGACAGTGATCTTTGCTACTGTGAAACTGGGGCATTGATGGTGAAGATGAGCATTTAAACTGTTAGGGTCCGTGATCTAAGGAATGAGTGCAACACAAATGCGTAAGTTTAGCAGAGCTTTATTTCATGCCAAGCACAGAGTCCAGATACTGATCCATCAGGGCCTGATCTCCCCAGAGAGTGAGCACGTCCCCTAGCCTCTGAGCCCCTTTTATACCCCAAACCCCAACTGTCAACTAACCTATTCCCTGATTGGTGGGCCTCTAGCTGGATAGAAACTTTCTGGCTCGGAATTGGCTGCCCTTTCCTGGGTCTGTTAATTCAGTTATTTCCTTCTCCCCCCATACTGGTCCTCCAACTGCTGAAGTTGGTAGTCATTCCAGCTAGGTGGTCCTAGGTGGGCCCTAACAAAACCATTTCATATTAAAGATGTGGCTGCTTCATTTTAAGTTTGTAGAAATGAGTCCTTTATAATAGGATAGAGTCCTATGTGATTAGTCCATCTGAGTTAGCTTCTGATGACTTTCACTTTTAAAGACCTACAGAAAACAATGACTCAAATAGTTAACATTGTATGCTGTGGGAGAGATGCTATGGCAGTAGGGCTCTTTCTTGCCCAGAACGTAGTCCATACAACTAGGTTTGATCCCTCACACCCCATATGGTTCCCCAAAGCCCATCAGGAATGATTCGAGTGCAGAGCCAGGGGTAACCCCTGAGCACACCCCAAAGACAAAACAAAAGTGAACATTGTTTCATTCTTTGTGATAATCAAAGATATTATAAAAATTTTTGTATTATATTATGGAGCTGTCCTTTGCCATGAGTAAGAAAAAACAAGTTTGAAGGAATTGATTCTCTATCACAAATAACTCTTTATTTCACAGTGATTCAATTAAAATAGCAAGAGCCGAATAACAAAATCTTACATCTTTGAGGAAGAAAAAAGAGGGACATAGAAATATTCCATTCATATGGGGAACAAAAAGTAACAAAATAGGAGACTAGCACCCAAGAATAGCCGAGATAAGTACCAGGAGGTTTACTCCATGGCTTGGAGGCCAGCTTCACACGTTAGGGAAAAGGCAACTCAGATAGAGAAGGGAGCACCAAATAAAGGATGTTAGGAGGATCCTCCCAGGATGGGAGAAGCATGCTGAAAATAGACTATAGACCAAACATGATTGCCACTCGATGCCTCTTTTGCAAACCACAGCACCCAAAAGAGAGATAAAACAAAAGGGAATGCCCTGCCACAGAGGCAGGGTGGGCTGGGGGGATGGGGGGGTGGGAGGGTTACTGGTATCATTGGTAGTGGAGAATGGGCACTGGTGGAGGGATGGGTACTCGATCATTGTATAACTGAAACTCAAGCACAAAAATTTGTAAGTTTACAACTGTAGCCCATGGTGTTTCACTAATAAAAATTAAAAAAAAAAAAAAAAAGCACACACACACACTTTTCAGGGTTGGGCCTGGTTGGAGTGCCACCTTGTGGCCACACTGTTATTATCTTAAATCCAAGACCTCAGAAGATATGTGTGTGCTCCTAAGTGAGTCATTTCAGACCTGGAATAACAGTGTAAGGATGAAGGTCGGGTTCCATTGCCCCTCGGAGAAGCTGATCAATCAAGAGACAAGGTGGTAGGTTGAGAAAGAGTTTTATTAGCAGTAGGCTGACAGTGGGAGAACGGCGGATTAACATCCAAGAGAGTATTCTTGACTGGTTGCTCAAAGAAGCAGCTACGTGGTCAGGGAGATGGCTCAAAGGGCTGGGCACACACTTTGCTTATGGGTGCCTGAGGCTTGATCCTCCAGGGAGGAGGGCTGGAGAGATAGTACAGCGGGTAAGGGTCTGGCCTTTTATGTGGCCGACCCAGGTTCCATCTCTGACATCCCATCTGGCTTCCTGACCACCAGGAATTATTCCTGAGTGCAGAGCCAGGAGTAACTCCTGGGCATGACCAGGTGCTTCCCCTCTCCAAAAGAAACAAGAAAGAAGTAAGGAAAGATAGAGAGATGGAGGGAGGGAGGAGGAAGAGAAGGAAGGCGAGAAAAGGAGAGAGAGGAAAAGGGAGAGAAAGAGCTAAAGAAGAAATTAATAGGAGATGACTGACTGGTGGGTGTCAGAGTGGTTGGCAAATTCCCTGTGGACTAGTTCTCTGGTGCATACTCCAATTTATAAATCGAAAGAAATATTTTGGAATATAAACTCATAAATGTAGTCATCTTCCTTGCATAGGCTTTTGGGAAGGACAAGAAACACTTTACATTTCCCCCTCAGGGTGGGGGTTGTTGGGGCTATTCCTGACTCTGAGTTCTAGAGTGATCTCTGGCAGTGCGCAGGAGATCAAACTCGTGTGGAGGGTTGGCCACATGCCAGGCAAGCGCCTGACCTCCTGGACTGGCTGTACAATCTCTTCGGTTCCAAAGGAACTATTCTTTTTTTTTTAATTAGTGAAACACCATGAGGTACAGCTGTAGACTTACAAATTTTTGTGCTTGGGTTTCCGTTGTACAATGATTGAGTGCCCATCCCTCCACCAGTGCCCATTCTCCACCTCCACTAATCCCAGTATCCCTCCCACCCCCCTCATCCCCCACATCCCACCCTGCCTCTGTGGCAGGGCATTCTCCAAAGGAAATATTCTTTTCTTTTCTTTCTTTTTTTTTCTTTTTGGGTCACACCCGGTGATGCACAGGGGTTACTTCTGGTTCTGCACTCAGGAATTACCCCTGGCAGTGCTCAGGGGACCACATGGGATGCTGGGAATCGAACCCGGGTCGGCCACAGGCAAGGCACACACCCTACCCGCTGTGCTATTGCTCCAGCCCCGGGAAATATTCTCTTCATTCTCAATAGACCAAACCCAGAGGAGTTTGCTGCTCTAAATGTTAAGTTCGTGATGAGATACAACAATTGTCACACTAAAAAAACTGATTTTCATCCTTATTGATTTTAATATTGGGGCTTTATTATCTAATCAATTTCAACTCTGAAACTGTATCAACAATTGTGATCTTTGTCTACATTAAAATTAATTCTTTTAAAAAGTTAGGTTTGACTCTTACTTTCTTTGGAACCAGTTTCAATAATTCCACCTTCATGATTTTCAGGGAGGATGCTCAGGTTGACTTGGCTGCTGCCTTCGTGGGGAGCTTTCCCCCAGAAGGAAAAAGCTGGTACCATGGTGGAGCAGAGGAAATCCTCTGCCCCAGACCTTGGTATCTGTCATACACAGAGAAAGAGACGAGGTTGTTCCAGAGATGGGGGAATCCATAGTCCAGGGAGTTGGTGGAGCCTGCCCAAAGCTGCTCTCCCAGAAGACCATGGATAAACCCTGTGAGGGCGGAGCTTGTCCACCTCCACTGTTTCTATTAGGTTGTCAGTAAATGTGTTCCGTGTTAGAGCACATGTCTGCATGCGCAGGTCCAATCCATGCATGTTAGAGCCGGAGAGACACTGGTTATGCTTGCTTTGCACGTGGCTAACCCACATTCCATCCCCAGCACCATATATAGTCCCACAAACACTGCCGGGAGGGAATCCCTGAGCACAGAAATAGGAGTTAGCCCTGAGCACTTTGGGTGTGGCCTCCAGCCCTGAAGATCCCTGCCATGACATGCCCTGCAACCAGAACTGCAGAAGTGGCCCCCAAACATTCAATGAATGAACAGAACTATCAATCCAACCACTGGCACCACTGAACCCATCATTCATTCCCAGCTATTATCACAATGAGCAACATTTCTCAAGGTCTTGCTGTGTGCCAGGCACTGTTTCAAGCCCTCTCTGTGCAGCGACACCCCTGGGAGGGGTCACGGTTCCCCATTCGACAGATGGCAAACATCAGACAGCATTGAATAGCTTGCCCAGGATCATGCAGGTTCAAGGGAGGCCATCAGAATTTGAACTCAGTCTCACTGTATTGTCCCAGGGGCTTGAAGCAAGGGGGGTGGGAAAGCCAAGAGGAATTGGTATAGCGAAGTCCACGACCAGCACCCCCCCCCGCCCCGCACCCTCCCACTCCCCCTCAGGAACCCCCTCAGAGAGCCGCAGGCTTGGGTTCAGGGAGGAAAGCCTGTATGTAGTACACAGCCATGGTCACTAGAGGGATGAGGACTGCATCGGAACCTCCCACCAGGCTCCGGGAAAGAGAGCTTGACATTTGCAGAGTCAGGATCTTCCATGGACTCCGAATCATCTATGTAGGCTGACAAATGGGGTGGTAACTATGTGAGGAGGAAGAAGGGGTCCAAATCCTCACCCATCCTTCTGGGTCTCAATAATCTGGGGGAGCCCACGCTCCATTTGTCTGGAGATTTGCATTTCAAAACGTGTCACTGTGAAAGGACAGGGCCCTCAGCACTGTGTTTCCAAACACAACAGCCTGGCAGGCACAGGGTACCTTCGAAGGACAGCCCGTGGGGAGAAGGGGGCTGCAGGAGCGGCTGACGGGACCCCTCATGCCTGGGCTCAATTCCGGAGAGGGACTACTTGCCACTTTCTTAATGCCTTGGGCTCCTCGATGTCATACCTGCAAAATGATGGAGGCCTGGATGCAGTCATAGCAAACCCCACCTGAGTGAGTAATGGGAACCCAAGGGCAAGTCCACTGGCCCATTGCCCCCAGGCCAGCTCAACTTGGGTCCAGGGGAAGCTGAGGGGCTCCTGGGAAGGTCAGCAGAGATGCTGTGAGCACAGCCCAAGGAATCTCAGGTCCAATCAGAGAAGTCCCCCTCCAAGTTACAGGTTGCGGGCACCCATGGAAAGGACCGAGAGCCAGGGGTACAGAGTGTGTCCAGAGAGAGGAGTGTGTAAGGATACAGGCAGGGATGCCCGCCTTTGTCCCGAGGCGTCGCTGCTGGGGAGCTGGCCTGGAAAGAAGAGGAAAGCCAACAAGGAAAACACAAGCCTGGTATGAGTTTATTCATGAGAAAACTCAGGTTCCACGGGGGGAGGGGGCGGGGGGGGGGCATGATCCATTGGTTACAAGCTCCAGAAGCTCTTGTCAGAAGGGGAAGGAAGGCGGGGAGGTGGGGGGGGCGCCCCAGGCCGGGCAAGTGCGGTGGGCAGGCCTCTCAGAGTGCTGAGGGTGCTCTCTGCTGCCCCCCTCGCTGTGCCCTGACCCTCCTCGAGTGTTAAAGTGCAGCTGGGGGCAAGGAGGCGGGTAGGAGTGGGATTCCCCGAGAGCCCCAGCGAACACTGGCACCTTCAGGCCCTCGGTTTGCTCCTTAAGGAGCTGCCTGAAGCCGCCCAGCCCAGTGCCCTCCCTGGGACTGAGTTGGGGAGCCCCCTTCCCCCCATCACTCTCAGAGCATGCTCCCCAGGAGAGGGGGGCTGCCTTCTGAGCAGCCTGGGGGGCGGGTAGGGGACAGTGGGGAACACTTCAGGCTGGGGGAAGGGAACCCTGGGCCCAGGAAGGCTCCGCCCTCCTCCAACTCCCCCCTACAGCCCTCCTCCAAGCCAAGAAAGCCAGAGGTGCAGTGAGCCCTGGCCTCAGAGCATGAGTCAGCAGGGTCCTGCCCAGGCCTGACTCATGAGGGAGGGTCCCTCAGGGCCAGGGGCAGGCGCTGCCTTGGGGACAGGAGAAGGCTGGAGGCCCATGGGGCAGTCCTGGGGTCTGAGCTCCCCCAGCTTCCGCCACTGGTCTGTGCTCCTGGAGCCTCCCCTCAGGGGGTGCAGGGAGGTCCCCAGCTCAGGGCCCAGCCCCAACATCTACCCCAGGGGCCCTGCCCCACCAGGGGCTGCTGGGCATCCGCCTGGCCTCACCCCACCTCAGCAGCTTAGCCAATGTCCTCCCTATTCCCAGGACGCCTCTCTGGGAGGTAAAAAAGGAAGAGAACTCCCCTCCCCAACAAAGACCCCCACCCCCCCAAGACTCGGCATCCTTCCCCCATTCCCCCACTCTTGAATATATTAGATTGTGCCGCATGGTGCCAACCCCTCCCTTCAGACCCCCGTGGCCACAGGGCAGCATTCCAAGTCCAGCCTGAATCCAAGTCCATCCCGTGCCAAGCGGGGAGGGGGTCGGCCTCTCCGCCTCCCTCCCCCCTGAGGGCAGGCCCACCATTCCACAGGGGGACAAGAGGGGGGGAAGAGTTGGGGGCCTCAGTCCTCAGCCCCCTCTTCCTCGGTGTGGGGGGGCCCCGGGGGGTCCTCGGGCTCCGGGGTCTGCTCCCCCAGGTGGGGGTGGGGGTGAGGGTGGGGGCCGGGCTGGGGGGCCGGCCCGTCCTCGCCCTGTACATAGACGCTCAGGCCCTCGGCGCTTGGCTCCTTGCCACACGCCTGGCAGCTGCAGTGCAAGATCTTCTCCACCAGCTTGTCCACGCGGGGCACCTCGTCATGGCCTGGGCACTCCAGGGTCACCTGGAGAGAGCAGCAGCAGGAAGGAAGTGGAGAGAAGTTTCCAAGGGCCTGGGGCAGGCCTGCAGCCCAGAGCCCCCCAGAGTCCTGGGCCCTGCAGTAAATGCACCCCCCTGAGCTCGATGGGCCACTGGGGAAGGTGGGAGTCGGGGCAGAAGCAGCTGACGGGGCCCCTTGTGTCCTGCCACTTTCCTCTTCTTGCTGCCCTCTGTGGACAGTCCGGTGTGGCTTGTCCACCTCACATTCTCCTCCACTGCACTGGGGCGCGGCCTGACTCCTGGCTCAGAACCCAGGGGCCACTCCCCGCAAACTCTGGCCAGCGGGTTCTGCCTGAGACAGGCTCACCCAAGTCACCATGCACCCCCACTGCCCCCCGCTGCAGCTAATCTCCACCCCACCACGCTTCCATAAGCCCCAAGGGCTAGTTCAGACAGTACTGCCCTGAGGAGCCTGACCAGTGCCTTCGCCAGTGCTAGGGATGCCCAACAGGGCATGGTCCTCCAGAGCTCAGAGCCCAGTCAAGAAAACTGGTTTCTCTCAAAATCACTCAAATGCCAATGAAAACCGGCAAGGGGACAGACGCTCAAAGCAGAGGCCAATGGGCTGTGGGGAAGGGGGCCCCCAAGAGTGGTGCCTGAGCCTGTAGCAGGAGAGAGCATTGAAGTCCTTGGAGATGAGGAAGAGGGGGGAGAGGAGGAGGAGAAAGTTCCCGAGTTCCCTCCCGAACGGGTGCAAGCGCATGTGCAAAGGCTCATGATGGAGGAGAGAGAGAAAGTGAGCCCTGTGCCAGTAAAAAGGTGAGAGGCAAGAAGCATCCCTGTGGGGACTGAGGTCCCACACAGAGAGCCTGGTCTGCTCCAAGAGCAACACGAGAAGACCCTAGCGGGTTCGGCATATGACTGACGTTCAGCCAATGGAATTCTGAAAACAGCTCGACAGTTGTGGGTATAGGTGTCAGGCCCTGGAGCCACCCAGAGACACTTTGGGGTGGAGGGGGTGTGGTGGGCGTGGCTGGGCAGAGCCAGGGCGTAACCAGGGTTTGGGGGCGGGGCCGGGGCGGGGCCAAGGCGTGGATGGGGCAGGGTGGGGCATGGGTAGGCGGGACCATGGAGGCGGGGCCAGAGCGTAGAGGGGCGTGGTGGGGCCAGGAGGGGCGGGGCAGGGATGCTAAGGGGAGGGGAACGGGCGGGGCCAGGGATGGAGGTGCGTGGTGGGTCAGATAGGGGCGTGGTCAGAACGCCAGGAGGCGTGGCGGGTGGGGACAGGGCTTGGACGGGGCGGGGCAGGGCAGGGCTGGGGGGCGTGGAGGGGAGGGCCGGGCCGGGGCGGGACGGGGCCGCAGCACTCACTATCTCCCACATGGACTGGGCCGGCATGCAGGAGTCGCAATGCACCAGGGACTCTGTAGACTGCGGGAAGGTGTTGGGGACGCTGTAGCTGAAGCACTGTCCGAGGCACGCCCTGTGGGAGGAGAGATGCCGGGCAGGGTGAGTGGGGGCGTGGGTGGACCCCTGGGCTGCTCCCTCCCTGCCCGCAGACCCACCTGTTCTGGATGGACTTGGCCTCACAGCCGCTGTGGCCCACGATCTGGGTGATGTTCTTGGCCTCGCACCAGGCACTCTTGTCCGGGAACAGCGCCAGCTTGTTGATGGGTGGTGGGGCTGCCAGCAGCACGGCGGGGAGGACTGCCCCCACCAGGACCCAAAGCATCGTGGCCTTCAGAGCCTGGAACTGGGCAGAGCATGCTGGTAAGTCCAGGCAGACGTGAGGGGTGGGGCAGGGGTGTGAGACAACGATCACGTGACCTGCACAGGTACTGCCTGCCTTTGGATCCCAGGACCACCCTGACAAGCCAAGCACAGCTTGGACATGCATTTCCGGGTTATGAATTTCCACAAGGGGACATCTGGGTCCTGGGCAACTCCGGGAGAGCTTGTACCTCTGGCAAGGAGGAAGCTGTGTGAGTGCCATGCCCCGCACCACACGTGGGGTCCCCCAGCACCACCACCAAGTGTGGGTGGCAAGAGTGAAGCAGTAGAAAGGGAAAGAAAGAGGAAAAATATCTGCTAATCATCCGTGGATTAGATGCCTACCGTGACAAGGTTACCAGGGCTACGCCCAGGAAGTCTCAGGTCACATGGTACCCAGGACCACACCCAGAGCCAGGCCCCTGCCAGACACGCTCTCCAGTGCCCTGCCCTGTGCCTCCTGATCTGTTCTATTGGGGAGGCCTTGCATGGCCAGGCTTGAGGGCTACTCTCAGCTCGGTGCTCAGATCCAGGCCTCCTGCATGCAAAGCAACTCCCGGCCCATCAAACTCACTCTTGGGCTTTGGATTTAGAGTGGTCACACCTAGAAGTGCTGGGGCAGGGAGAGGAGAAGGAGAGCTATCCTTGGCTTGACGCTCAAAGGCTGCTCTCAAGGGGCGTGAGGGGGTGTCAGCGCCCGAATCCGACCAGGACTTCCTGCATGCAGAGCAGGTTCACTTGCCCTTTGCACTCTCTCCCCAGTGGCTCAGTTTCTTGCTCTGAAAAACAAGGGCGGTGGGACCGGGGAGGTGGCTCAGAGGCAGAAGCACATTGTTGTGTGAGACATGCGTTTCACCCCCAGCATCACAGAAAGAAAAGAAAGAAAAAGCTGGTGGTGACAGTGTGCGTGGGAAGGGAGCACGGGATGAGTGAACATGAAGTTTCACTTCCAAACAGAGGCTCAGCACCAAGCTACTTGCTCCCTCTTCACTCAGATGTGGGTCCACCAGGAAAACACACATCCAAAACGCCCCCCGCGAGCCAGAGAGATTGTGCAGGGGTGGGAGAAATAGGACAGTGGGTAGGGCGCTTCCCATTAATGCCATCGACCAGGGTTTTATTCCTGGCACCCCATATGCTCTCCGGAGCACCACCAACAGTGGTCTCTGAGCACAGAGCCAGGAATAAGCCCTGAGCATAGCTGGGTGTGGCCCTAAAACCAACCAAACAAAGCCCCTCCCGCCCCCACCCCCTTGAGGTGCTTCCCTCTGAATCCAAACTCCTGGACACAAGGCCTTCGGGTCAGCATTCTGAGGTCAGGAATGCTGACCTCCAGCTGGGCACCGCCCTGTTCTCCCTGCTTCTTCTTCCCTTGTTGTTGCAGTGACCTGGTTCACAGACATCGGTCTGCAGGACTCATGGAAGGACACGCCTGAGCTGTGTCCAAAGAGACTGGACATGCTGTGGCACCACCTGACAGCACAGCAGAGCCACCAGGACCACAGTCAGTGCATGCAGGGAACACGAGGCATCAAAGGCAAGACCTCTGGCTGGCAAGGTAGAAGCTCAGGCCACCACATTCTAGACCTGCTTGGCTGCACGTGGGGAAGAAAAGCACCAGCCCTGGACTATCCTGTATTCCTTTCCAGGGTGCCCCTGCAAGAACCTCGAGCCCTGAGTCTACATACATCTCATGAACCCCGCTCCATCCTAAACCAGTAGGACAGATTCCGGCTGCGGCGGGAGAGAGCCAGACACCAGCCAAACCCAGCATCTTCCAGCAGATGGCACTGCAGGGCAGCACGAGTGTGGAAGGTGTGGCTCAGCCTCCTAGGCTCGGTGCTGGGAGGCGTGGGAGAGCCTGTATGCAGGGACAGGGCGACGAGGGAAGGGTGCTGGGCTGGGACAGGCTGTGTGATCCCAGACACCGACCTTCCGAAATGAGTGATGGTCTAGACCAGCAGCTTCCAAACCAGGCAGGAGATATTTCCTGGGACCTGGGACCTAGACCTTGAGGGTTCACTGAGTCTGCCTTTGTAAGATTCCCCAGGAAGAGCACCCAGGCCAGGCCGCCAAGGCACACAGGAGTCTGGGAGCCCAGGGAGTCTTCTCAAGCCTGGCCCCTGACTCAGGATGTCTCCAGGGGGCCCTGGAGGAGGAGCAGGAAAGAGAGAAGGCAGGAACCACCCCACCAGCCCCAGGGAGGCATGGCACCAGGGCTGGGCTGGATCATCACAACCATCCTCCCCGGGATCCTCCCTGTGGACAGTGGCAGGGACTTGGCCAGGGGTCTGGAGTGGTGTGGGCTGGCTCAGGGGGCCGTAACCACCCCTGCAGCTCTGCATCCTCTCCACCCCGCTGGTGCCCGGCTCTATGATGTGATTGATGCCTCAGGAGCCCTGCTGGCCCAGTCCAGCCTGTAGAAAGGGGGTCGCCTGACTCTCCCACCTGAGTCTGTGGCCTGACCGGGGCACCCCGTCTCTCTCACAAGATGGACAGCTCATGTAATGGGCCCAACCTCACTGGAACCCGACACCTAGGCTTGTTCCTCACTGGCATCTGATGGATTGCTCAGGGGCCCACCTGGCCCTTACAGTGCCTCCTACCCCGCCAGGGACTGGCCTCAGATGCGTCCAACCAGCAGGTCTGCAGGACATGGAGCTCCCTGCCCCACCATGCGCTCAGAGAGGCCTGGGGGCCTCTGTCCAGCCTGACACTGCCAGAGGAGGGGAAAGGAAGGTGACCAGAGCAGGGAATTAACTCGATGGTGCTGGAGATGCACAGTTGGGTCTGATGTGGGTGGGGACTGGGAGGCACTGAGAGCCACGGGCCAGGGCCAGGCTCGAGAAGACTCTCGTTGGTTCTCACTGCTCCCCCCATACATGCCCCAGGGGGACTGTAGGAAAGCTCGGCGACCCCGGGGCCCACATGCACACGGGGACAGGGAGATGCCAGCCGGCTCCACCTGGCCCTGTCAGCAGGACTCAGCCCTCCCTCCACCTCCTGCTGCCTCAGAGAGCCCCCTGCTGCCCCTCACTTGGGAATGTGATCTCTGCGAGAAAGGCCCATGACTTTGCTTGTTTGCGCCTCTTCTGTCTTTGCAAGCAGCAGTCACCCAGCTTTCTTTTCCCCCTTTCAGTTTTAGGGTCACATTCTCCAGTGCTCAGGAGCTACTCCCAGCTCCACGCTCAGGGGACCCTGTGGTACTAAGGATCAACCCCAGACGCCCCACATCCAAAGCCTGCACTCAGTTCACTGAGTCACCTCTCCAGCCGCTCAGCTCGCTTTGTTTGGAGGTGGGGTGGTTTGGGGCCACACCTGGTGGTGCTCAGAGTTTACCCCGGGCTCTGTGCTCAGGGATCACTCCTGGAGGGGCTCAGGGGACCATAAATATGCTAGGGATCCGAACCAGGATCAGTAGCACGTCGGGCTAGGCCTTAGTCCTTGTACTATCAGGCACGTTTTTTTTATAAAAAAAAAAAAGTAGTCGCCCCTTCCTTCCTGAGCCTCACCCCTTCCTTCCACCCTGGGGGCGGGGAGGGGGCGTTGGGAAGACACCCTCTTGTTATGCTAAGGGGTTGTGCCAAGGCCCTGCAGCTCCTGCTGTGCTGCTGGTGACAAGGCTCTTCTTGGAGGAGAGTGGAGAGGGAGCTGGGTCTCAGACCCCCTGCCCAGAGCTCAGAGCCCAGGGGGCGTGCCAAGAGGAAGGCATGGTTTGGGGAGGCAGCCAGAGGTTGGCTGGGGCGGGGGGCGGGGGGGGGGGGGAGCGGAAATCTTCACTCCGCTTTGAAAACTGTTTATTAAAGTGTGAGGTTGGGAGCGTGCATGCCTAGGATGGGTGAGGCCCTGGTTCCATCCCTGACACCACGTCCCTGCTCCCCTACGCATAAAACAGCTCCTGTAAAACAGCAACAATTAAAAAAAAAAAAAAGCAACTACTAGGAGTGGCCACAGCGGGGAGGAAGGGAGTTCCTGGCTGGAGAACCTGGGCAGGTTCTCAGAGTCCGGAACTCAGAAAGTGAATTCAGAGCCTGCCCGGGCTCCACGGAGGGGCAGGAACCTGCTATGGACACTGCACAAGGGGCCGGAGAGACTGCAGGGCACTTGCCTTGTATGCAGCCAACCCAGAAATGATCCCCAGTGTCCCACACGGTCCGCTGAACTTGCCAGGAGTGATTCCTGAGTGCAAAGCCAGGAGTAAGCCCTGAGCACCGCTGGATGTGGTCCCCAAACCAAAAAAAAAAAAAAAAAAAGAAAACCAAAAAGCCAGACACTGCACAAAGTTCTCCACCTATTCATTCACTTACTTAGTCCATGCCATGACCCCAAGGGACAGCTACTGTTATTTCCCCATATCTCACAGGTGAAGAAACGGAGGCACAGAAAAGAGAGAGGCTAAGAGAGGTGCACAGGAGGAAATCGAAGAGACAGCAGCCCCCAGCACCACTGCGGGTGAAGAGCTTCACAGCAACAAAAGAGAGGGCACAGCTGCTCCCTAACAGTGCTCTGAGGTTGCGCTCTACCGGGTTGGCAGACCCCTGAGGATGTCTGTGGGGTCCTAGTTACTCCGAGCTCAAGAAAGGGGTGACACCGTCCTTTCTCAGAGCCGTATTCAAGCCTCTAGGAAGTGCGGGTCCCTTCTTACCATCCCCTCCCGAATCCCAGTTCCCTCCCATCCTCAGAGGCCCGCGACAAACATCTGACCCATCCTGCAGCCACCAGCGCCCCAGAAAGGAAGTGGGGGGGGTTTGTGGAGACTTAGGCACAGACCAAGGACGTGATGTGACTACTCTACCTCCCGCAGCGAGGTGACAGAGGAGACCAACCCTGGCAGCTTCCTGGGGAGCCTTAAGTCAGAGGCCGGGGGTGGTGCAGGCCCTGGGGCCTCTCTGCAGGTCACCTCCACATTTTCACACCTCCCAGAATGTAGCATCTTCCTGACAGGCTGCCGTCTAGCTCAGACGCCTGGGTCCTGCCCTGGACTCTGGGACAGGGTTCCAGGGAGGTCCCTAACATTTGTATGTGTTCCTACAAGATCCTGAGGCACGGCCAGGCAGGGAACAAGGCTCCCCGACTCCCCAGGGAAGGGTCCCCCATAACAGTACCACTGACAGGGGTCACCCACCCCACGACCTGGATTCTCTGTTAGGTAATTTGTCGGGTTTTGTTTCTCTTTAGCTCATACTCCTGCTTGAGGGAACCTCTCTGCTTAGTACTCAGGAGACCGTGTGGTGCCGGGGCTTAAATCTAGGATGCCTGCATGTAAAGGCTGTGCTCCAGCCCTGTGAATCATCTCCCCCGTCTCTCTTGGAGAAATCTTAGTATCAGGGTAGGGGCTGGAGAGACAGTACCGCTATTTCCATGGTGTCTTGCGCAGGGCCAACCCGGGTTCGATCCCCCACGCCCCATTTAGTTCCCCAAGCATACCACCAGGCGTGATTCCTGAGCGCAGAGCCAGAAATAACCCCTGAGCATCGCCAGGTGTGCCCCCCCTCCAAAAACAGAGGGGGGGATGGCTGAAAGCCAGACACGCCAGGGTTTTCATGGTAGAATTCTCTCTCTCTCTCTCTCTCTCTCTCTCTCTCTCTCTCTCTCTCTCTCTCTCTCTCCCCTTCCCCCCCTCTCTCTCTCCAGCTATTACAGCTCCCAGAAATCCCTGGGTGTGGGAGCAGACCAAGGACAGGACAGCAAACCTGGCTGAAAACAGGGAAAGCCTCTCACAACTTTAGCCCCTGCATCCCTCAGGCCCCATTGGGCGTGGAAGTTCTGCCTGTGGGCTGAGCACTCAGTGGCCCTGCGACCCCCTGGCAAGCCCCGGGGGTGTCTACCAAACTTAGCCTAACTGGGGAGAGAGCTCAGTGGGCTGCAGCTCATGCTCGGCATGCAAGAGCTTAGATTAGATCTTCTCTAAGTCCCCAGAGCACCCCAGGAGGGACCTTCAAGCACCAGCCAGGAATAGCCCTGGACCACTGCTAGATGTGGGCCAAACCCCTCAGAAAACAAGAAACAAAAACAAAAATATCAGACTGGACGCTCCCAACCCCAGCTCTCCCTCTTTTTCAGACACATGTGCACATGCACACGCACACGCACGCACTCAAACACACATGCACTCGGGTTACACCTAGCTGGAGGTGTGAGGAGTAGCCCCCAGGTCATCCCAGGACCAGCCCCAACACACACACACACACACACACACACACACACACACACTCCTAACGAGAACTTGGGCTTTTTGTTTCCTGCAAAGTGAGGAGAGACCACAGTGAGCTCCCAGGGAACTGTGAGAATCGAGGCTGAGAGCCACCAAGGGGGTGAGCAAGCACCCAGAGACCACCCTTGGCTGTGGTCACTGATGGCTCAGGCTAGTCACCCCACCAACAGTTCCCCAGAGCCCATCCCAGCTGCCTCCCTCCCTGGGTGGGACAGGAGGGTCAATCTGGAGCTGCCTCTGCCCCAGGAAACTGAAGTCCAGGGAAATGCAAGCAAAGGAGAGGATGGCTGGGAAGGGGCTTACAAACTCTCAAGTGCTGGGATCAGAGAGAGAGAGGACAGCGGGTAGGGCTCTCGCCTGGTACAGGGCAGACCCAGGTTTGACCCCAGCATCCCCCACTGAGCCCACCAGGAGTGATTCTCCAGTGCAGGCCCCTGAGCACTGCGGGGTGTGGCCCCCAAACAAAATAAGAACAACAAACTCTCAAGTGCTGCCCCCACAGGACAGGCCTGCCAGTGCGGCACGGAGGAAGCCCTCTCCAGTCCTGGGTGGCTGATGGAAGGGACCATGCCCCCGGCAGACCAGCCCCCCTAGAACGGACTCCCAGAAACGCAGCAGGGCCCAGCTGCCATGCAGAGGCTGGCGCCTGCCCCAGCCCTCGGCTTGGAGACCAGCCAGGGTGGGGCGGGGCTGCAGGTCTTGGAATGAGTGCAGGGACTTCCTGCGGGCAACCGAAGAGGTGGGTCTTTGAGGGGGCAAGGCAGGGTCAGACCCCCGCCCTGTGAGCTCCGCGGGGCTCCAGGGCTCAGGCTGGAGCCCCAGGACAAGTTGAGGTCCTAGTTCCTACGGGAGTCCCGCGGGGGGTGCTGGGAGCGGCTGGTCTCCTGGGGGCTACAGGCCACCTGCTTGCTGCACCCGCGATGCTTGGGGACAGTGGGGTGCAGGGCATGGGAAGGCCACGTAAGCAGAGTCCCTGGAGGGGAGTGGGGCTCAACTGTTTCCATCCCTTGACCCCAGATCATGGCAGGGTGGTGAGCCCTCCCTGCCCCAAATAAAAACAACTCTTCCGAGAGGCGCTTCTCTCCGATGCCCACCCCAGGCTTCTGTAGTCCGTATCCCCTGGGTACGTGGAGCTGAAGTCAGTCAGGCCCCTGTTAGCTTCGAGAACGAACCCCACCAGCTCTAGGGGCACCTCCAGAAAGAGCCTTTTTCTGGATCGTGCATGGCACAGCGGGCGGCGAGAAGCCCCACCAGTCGCCTTCCCCTCATCGTGTGAGACCTCCACCCCATTCCCAGAACCCGTTTTCCCACCTAGGGTGGACTTCACAGCCATGTGAATGCTCCACACACAGGCAATGAAACGTATTCTTTCTCTCCTACTAATCCGATGTTCATTTGTTTGCTGAACCAGCCCTAGAAGAACTCAGGGCGGGTCGGGGGTGGGGGGGTAGAAAGGAGGGGTGGGGGTGTGCCCCTGTGCCCCGACATCTCTTTCCCATCAGTGCTGGACAGCACGAAGCACAACTGGTCAGCGGGTGGTCATGCAAGGCTCAGCTGGAGCCACCGGCCAGTGAGTGGGCTGCTCTCCATGTCCCGGAGGGAGCGGCAGCCCTGCGGCCCCAGACCCCAAACTGTCTCCCAGACAGACAGATCTCAGCTGGGAGGAGCCTCGCCCGCCTCCACATCTGCTCGGCAGAGTCCCCCTGCAGACTTCGCCAGCTCCCAGAGCCCCCACCCTTGGTGTGTGCCGGGCAGAGGGGGGGTGAGGGGCGGTAAAGAGCTCAGCTCCATCCGAAACTTTACTCTGAGAGACTGAGAACCTATCTCTGGATAACGGGAGCCCAGATTTGCCCCACCGGCCACCAGCCTCTACCCACTCAACACAGGACCCCGGCGGGGGGGGGGGGGGGGGAGATTGCCAGCTAGGAAGAGTCGGGGAGCAGGTGGGGGTCACCAAGGAAATGCCCCAATCTGGCCTTTTCTCTGCCACCCGTGTCCCCCACTAAAGCCAACCACACCCAAGCCTCCCACCCAGCATCTGCGGGACTTTGAGGCAGCCGGACTCTGTGTGTGTGTGTGTGTGTGTGTGTGTGTGTGTGTGTGTGTGTGTGTGTGTTGGGGGGGCGGGGAGAGGTTAGGCGAGTAACAAAGGGCCAGCGGCTGGCTGACAAATTGCTCCCCACCCCAGCTGCCCCCAGCGCAGAGCCTTTGGCCTTAAGCCCTGACCTCTGTTTTTTTCCCTAGGGTTCCCTTAGTTACTCGTCTGGTATCCTCCAGCGGGACTCGGAAAGACTGAATCTGTGCCCTTGTCCCTGGTCGCCCCCGGGGGCAGCCACGCCAGGCAGCTGCCCCTGCCCGCCGGCTGGTAAGAGAAGAGCCGCGCTGGAGCGGGCAGGTGGCCGGCCCCAGGGCCCTGTCCAGGCCGCCTCCTGGTGGGGGTGGAATTCTTAAGAAAGCTGAGCCCCCGGAAAGGCGGGCGCCCCCCACCCCAGCCTCGATTCCAGTGCGGGGTGTGGGGGAGGGAGATGACCTAGGCCAGGTCCCGGGGGCAGTCAGAAGGTGGGGGGGGGGGGGTTGGAATCGCCTCTTTCACCCGGTTCGGAAAACTGCTCCTGAGCTCCACGGGTGTGGGGGGTCTGCCCCGCTCACGTCTGACCTGGAGGGTGGGGGCCCCGGGAGACACGCAGAGGGAGTGGAGAGACGGAGGAAAACATATCGGGGAACGGAAAACGGGCGAAAAGGAAAGAAAGGGGCCGAGCCGGGGCGGGACGCGGACGGAGAGGGGCGACGGACGGGAAGGCAGAGGCAGAGGGACAAGAAAGGGGCTGCGGCGGGCGCGCGCGGGGCCCCGGGCGGAGCGCGGGGGACGCGGCTCTGGCTCTCGCTCCTCCCGCACCTCCTGCAGACTCCTCCCGGGGCGCAGCGGTGCCCGGCGCGCGGCCGCCTCCCCCCGGCCCTCGGAAGGCGCCTCCCGGCCCGCGGCCGCCGCACGGGCCGGGCGGGACTTACCGCGCGCGCGGAGCCGGTGCGGGGCAGGCTGGGCTGGGCTGCGCTCGCGCCGTCTGCGGCCCCGGGCGGGCGCGCGGTGCGGGGGAGCGGCGGGCCGAGCGGCTCCGACGTCAGGGGTGTCTCCGCTCCAAATAGGGAGCGAGGGCGGGGGCAGCGGAGGGAGGGCCGCGAGAAAGAAAGAGCGGGCGGGCGCGCAGGAGGGGGCCCCCGCGCTCCGACGGCGCGAGCCAGGGGCGCCCGGGCACCCGGGCCTGCCGGGGTCTGCTCTGCCGCCTCCCCGCGCGGGGCTGTTTTACCCGAGCCGGGGGTGGGGGCGGGGGGGCGGGGGGTGGAAAAGGGGGGAAGAAGCGCCAGGAGCCGGGATGACAAAGACCGAGATGTTTCCGCGGCCCGGGGAGCGCCGAGCATCGCCGTGCGGCTCCGAGGGCGTGGCGCGCCAGCGCACCGAGACCAGGTACCCGGCCCGTCCCGTCCGCAGGCTGCGATTCTGGAGCGCTCCCCGGAGGGCACCCCGCGGGGGTCGGAGCCGTGCTTAGGACGCTCGGGTCACGCGACCCCGCCCAATCCCGCCCCGGCTCCTGGTTTAGGCGCTTCAGCATCCCCAGAAGGATCTGCGAGGGGGCGCGGAGAGAGTGCGGTGGGTCCAAGTTTGCGCGCAGCCCACCCGGGGTCCGTCCTGGGCACCACAGATGGTCCTCCCATGCCCCGCCGGGAGAGCTCCCTGAGCACAGAGCTCCGAGCACCGCCTGGTGTGGCCAAACAGAACAACAAAACGGCTCTGCAGCCCCAGGAAGGAGTGCTTTTGAACCCGAGCCCGCCTCCCCCACCCCCCACCCCCCACCCCCCCCACGAACCTACGGATGGCCTCGTTCGCCAGCACCTCCGGGGAGTTTGGCTTCATCCGCTGCTTGAGCCGTGCAGATGGAGGAAAGAGAGTGTGGAACACCCACCTAAACTGTCGGTATTTGCGTGCCTAGGAGAACTGCCCCCATGCCCTCTCCGTCGTGTGCCCAGTTGTGAGGAAACAGCCTCCTCTAGGAAGGGAAGTATACCAGGACACAGTGGTGGGACAGGATTTTGCTTTTCCTCTGGATTTAACCCGCCCTTACTCTTCTGAAGGTTCCTAAGCACCCTGGGAGGGCTGCAAGGGGCAGGCTCCCTGTGTCCCTGGGTTTTTCTGCACTCTCCAACCCTACCAATACCCTTATGTCGTTCCTTTCCCTCCTCGGATCTCCCAGAGCAGACACTCTTCATGCCAGCTCGCAAGGCCTTCCCAAGGCCCCTCAGGCAGCTTATGTGGCCCCCTTCTCCGCGGTGATCTGGACACAGGTTTACGCCTCTGTCCACCACATCTCCCTTGGTGGCTCCACTGGACTGGGGGTTCCCTGAGGGCAGGGATCTCCTGTCCATTTCAGAGTCCCGAACATTCAGGGTTCTTCGGACAGGGTCCGTGATATCTTTGGCTAAATGAAGTCATTATCCTCTCTCATGAATGTATTTCTCAGAGGAAAACTTAACAACAATCATAACGGCTCACGTGCATTTAGCAACTTATTATGTGCTTGGTGCCATTCCAAGGACTTTCTACCTACACAATAAATTTGTGAGATAAGTGGTGTTACGATCCTTGTTTCATAAAATCTACACAGGTTAACTAATAGGTCTAAAGACGCAGAGTAGGGCCAGAGAGCATGCATGCAGCCCCACACGGGTTCCATCCCTGGTACCGCATATGGTCCCCCAGGCACCATCAGTATTGGCCTCCGAGCACAGAGCCAAGAATAAGCCCTGAGCACCACTGGATGTGCCGCTCCCCCACCAAAAGAAAAAAAGAAAAAGCTAAAGTTAAAAGGTGCTTTTAAGTTGAAAGATGGCCATGTCCCCCAGAGTAGTCACTCATTAAGTGTTTCCCTTGGGGCTTCCCCCTCACCTGTTCTCACCATGGCCCTGGCTGGGGTATAGAGTGGATGTCTACATTTGGAGGGAGGGAATGCTTGTGCTCAGAAGCTATTCCTGACAGTGCTCGGGACCATATGTGGTACTGGGAATCAAACTAGGGTTGGCTACATGCAAGACAAATGCTTTACCCCTTATACTATTTCTTCAGCCCCTGGGTGTCTATATTTTGTAAGAGCCCCTTCTCGGCTTACAGGAAGCTAGCTGGTTCGAGCAGAGAAACGATCAGGAGCATCAGCCCCCTACAACCAGTCACTGCTCACTCAGACATGAGGTTTTTAGAATAAACCCAAGTGTTTCATCAAGAACATGGGGTTTGGGCAGCCAGGGATGTGGCTCAGGGGTAAAGTACATGCCTGGCATGCATGAAACCTGGGTTCGATCCCCAGCACTGCCAAAACAAAAGCATGGAGTTTGACGCTGAGTCATGCCCGCCTGGTAGACTGGTTATTACAGGAACTACCCTGTGCGGGAAGGGGATCTGGGAAACGACTTGTTGCTTGTTGATAGAATAGCTGCCACTCTGGGCTAGGCGTACACTAGTCTGCTGCTCGCCTTATCCGATTCACACCCCATCATTCTTCCCACTTTGCGGGCAGGAACTCTGAGGTATCATTTCACGACCTGCCTAAGATCGCTTCAAGAGTGACTAACAGAGCCTAGACTTGAGCCAGGCCCTCAACTCTGAGCACTCCCTTACCCACCACACCCTCTTGACCAGCTCAGCACCCCTCCCTGCCCAGCTGCAGTGTCGGGAGGCTACACCTCAGGGACCGGGGCAGGAGCCCCAGTGGGAAAGGCAGAACCTGCCGGGGTCGGAGCTCATGGAGGTGCACCTGGTTGGCAGGCAGCAGTGCGCCAGTTGCCCTGACAGGCCTGGCTGGCACAGGGCACGGGCCAGAAGCCAGAGCCTGCTGGCCCTGGGCCAGCCTCCTGGGGCCGAGGTAATGTGGGGCCCAGAAGGAGGGTAGAAGGCTGAAAGCCTCTCTTCCCCAGCTCATTAGCAAACATCTGGGCTCAAGAAAATGACCGACCTGGAATGTGACGGGGTGTGGGGAGCTGCTCCCCCCCACCCCATCCAGTCCGGGAATGTGAGCTCCCTCCCGCAGGGCACTGCTCGGGCCAGCTGTTTCCTCTAATCCTGTCAGCCTGGCCGCGACAGGGGTCCAAACCTCTGCTCTCCCCGGGAGAGAGAGTCCAAACAAGCAAAAGGGCTTCCTTCCCAGGCCAGCCCACTGAATCAGAGGGTTGGTGCGGGCCCAGACCGCAGGGCCTCCCTCCGCAGGGAGGTCAAGCGCAGGAGCGTCCCTTCCTCCAGGTTTGGAGGGGGAAGGAGCTATGGGGACTCGCCACATCAGGTTCTGCAGTCTTGCTCCATTGCTGACTCTCCGACTCTCTGCAAGTTTTGTTTCTGCTCCTTGGCTTCCTTGTCTGCAAAACTGCAGTGGGTAGTGCTGGTCGAGACCCATTCATTTACTTAACAAATATTTGTGCTACCATGTCTCAGAGGAGTAGAGGACACTACGATGGACTCAACCAGTCTGGGACATTTCCCAGTCCTCAAGAAGCGTAAGTTGGCAGGGGGCCAGGGAAGTGGCTTAAGCAGTCTAGAGCACTTTTGTGTGTGTCAATTCCAGGCACCATCAAGGAAAAGAAAGCAAAAGACAACGACTCAGGAGCTGGAGAGATGCTGGAAGTGAAAGTTCAGCACAAGCTTGGCATGTAGGAGCTCCAGGTTGGGTCCAACCCCCTACCCTCACGCCGCCTCTGTATGGCTCCCCTGAGCACCAAGCTGGGAGGAGCCCCTGAGCACTTCCAGGTGTGGCCCCCAACCCCAACTCAAAATAAAGCAGCAGCAGAAGTTGCTTTTATAGGGCTGTAGCTCTGTGGTAGAGAACAGAGATGAGGCTCTGATCCCCGACACCCAAATCAAAACCAAACCAAAGAAACAAGAAGCGTTAAGTTCTCTGAATGGCAGGCCGAGCAAGCACAGACCCGCAGATGCAGAAGTTTATTCACGAGGGAACTGATTAAGTCAGAGCGGGAGAGCTGAGAGAAGCCTCCAGAGAGGGCTCTCTGGAGTGATAGTTGGTCAGGTTAGGATGAGATGGAGCCAGGACTCAAGATAAATGGCTTCCAGGGGCTCAGCTCAGCAAAGTTTCTGGGAGATAGCACCTGTTCCAGAAAATGAAAGCTATTTTAGGGAGGTTCGTATTAGCAGAGGGAAGGCAGGGAGTCTGTGTGCCAGGACCAAACCCATGGCCATGGCTCAAAGGTGTCTCACCTAAGGAAACCTCAGTTTCCTCATCTGTAAAACAGAAATGTTATTACTGGGGGCTATTCTGGCTTGGTGCTGGGAGGGTCCCTCTGGATCATGCTTGGAGGACCGTGCAGGACCAAGGACTAAACCTGGGGCCCAAAGCAAGCACTCAGTCATTTGATCCCCAAAATAGAAACATGGATAGTGGCCAGACTCAGGCCAGCTGCGAGGATTCACCAAGACAGGTCTGTTTGGCACCGGCCACAGCTATCCGGAAACGCAGCACCTGTTCTTCGCCTTTCCCAGGGAGGAATGGGACTGGCCTGAGCTCACGTGGGAGTGAGGGGCAGGTCCGGGAGGGGCACTGCTTAATCTGGCTGTGTCCTTTTGCTTCCTCCCTCACTGGTGGGCTCAGGAAGCCTTGGGGTCTGTCCTGAGAGATCGTGAGGGTGTGAAAGGAATGGCCCTGCTCTGGGGAACGGTCCTTGGCACTATGGAAAATGTTATGTGTATTTTTTTTTCTTTTTGGGTCACACCCGGCGATGCTCAGGGATTACTCCTGGCTCTGCACTCAGGAATTACTCCTGGAGGTGCTCAGGGGACCAATATGGGATGCTGGGATTAGAACCCAGGTCGGCTGCATGCAAGGCAAACGCCCTACCTGCTGTGCTATCGCTCCAGCCCGTTATGTGCATTTTGCTGGGAGAGTGGGAAACCAAGATCGAGACACGGGATCAAGTGCTAATAATGGAGGAGCTGGGAGAAGAGGGTCAGAGAGAAAAACTCAATTCCGAGGGTTAAGAATGGAAATGTCAACCCAAGTCAGACTGTACCCAACGGTCATCCTTTTCTCATTCAAGAGGGAGTTCCCTCCTCTGTTAAGACTGAAGCTGGAGACAGTACAGCTGCTAAGGCACTTGCCTTGCATATGGGTTTCAATCCCCGGCATCCCATATGGTCCCCTAAGCACTACCAGAAATGTTCCCTGAGTGCAAAGCGAGGACTAAGCCTTGAGCACTGCCGAGTGTGGCTCAAAAACTAATGAAAGACTGAGCATACTGACCTTAGCAGGAATGGGGCTGCCGGGGATGACCCCAGCCACACAGTTTCTTTGCGTCCTCCCCCTCTTGAGCCGAGTTCTCCATTTCCTTCAGTGCCCCTAGACCCCCAATGACCTCCACTCACCTCCAGGTACAGAACCAGATCTGGGCTTTCAGCAAAGGGCCTGGCACCCCCACTTAGCTACTATGTGCAGCATTAAGGAATCAGCTTACCACTCCTTTATGGGGAGGGGAGAGAGGGGTGGCTCCCAGCTCTCTGCCCAACTGTGTTTGGGGGACCATGCAGTATTGGGGATGGAAACTTGCCTCCCACATGCAAGATTCTACGCTCCAGCCTTGTGAGCCATGGCCCGGCCCCTCCCCTTTTTCCCTATGTGTGTCTTCCATTCTCAGCTCTCAGAAGCTCACCCACAGCACAAGCCAAGAGGCTAAGAGTGTTTCTCCTTCCACAAGAGCTGGTCCTTGTGTGCTTGTCTGTCTCTTGCTCTGTTCTTCTGTTCCAGATAAATTCATTGAGGATCAAAACACCAAAAATAAACCAGATAAATTCATTGGGGATCAAAAAACCAAAAATAAACCAAACCAAAAACCTTCTTGGAACATGGGGATTGTTTAAAAAAAAAAAAAGGCACAAGAGGATACTTTGCAAATGTTTACCTTGCCTCCCTCTTCCAGGGAACTGACTCCCAACCACACCCACAAAGCCACAGAGGTGACCCCAGCAACCAAGCTTGTTCCCCACGACCCTGTTCTCATGGGCAGAGCAGGGTGGGCTGCAGTGGATAGCTCCTTCATGCTGGGCCCCTGGTTTTCTCTGAAGAATTTAACTGGGACCACAGGACTGTGAAGAGGACCTGATCACACAGAGAGGATTCCCACAAACTCGGGTTGTGCACAAGGACGTGGGCACAGTTTTGGGGGGACCTGTCTTGGAAGTCAGTCGCTCCCCCAGTAGCTTCTGATCATAAGCAATTGGAAGGGACTTGTAACTTAAGCCCTTGGAAGTCTTAAGGCCTGTTGCTGCTGTTGATGATACCAGGGGGTGGGAGAGAGAAGACACTGGCCTGCTCGGTCAGCAGTGATGAAAGAAGTAGTGAAGGAAAGCAGAGCTCCCTGATGAGGAAGTGGCCAGCCCCGAGGGCCAGGAACTCAGTGAAGGGAGAAGTTCTTGAGGGAGGCCAGACAAAGCTTAGAAAGGCTTGATGTGAAAAGGCAGGATCTGAGCATGGGAGATGAGCAAGGAAGTCAGGGCACACTGGGGTCGAGAAAGCAGTCCTCTCTGGGGACCTGGGAAGAAAGATCTGTCTTCAACAAGTATATGGCCCGGGGCCGGGCAGATAGTTCAACAGAAGGGCAGCTTCCATCAAGGCACTGCATATGGTCCCCAAGCACCACCAGGAGTGACCCCAAACACTATTCCAGGAATAGAGCACTGCCAGGTGTGCCAAATTCCCCCAAAGCAAAGGTCTTGCTGAGAGAATGAACCAGAGGGTCCGGGGACACCGAGGACAGAATGACTGGGACAGAGCAGTGAGGCAGCAGATGATAGGAGTCAAGGTCAGAAGGGGACCAGGATGGCCACTCGATGGACGGTGAAGACTTGCAGGTTCTGACTGGGTGGAAGAAAAGCCCTGAGACCCCCTTTCCTGGACCAAAATGAGATCTGCAGATCACGATCTGAATCGAAAGAAACTTTATGGCAGTTCTCTGGGCCCCAGGGAGAGGAGTCAAGAAATCTTAATGGATTTGACTGACAGGGTTGATGTTTCCTTCTTTGGCTCTAGCTCCTCAGCTCCTCGTTCGTCTTCAAGATGAATTAGGGGCCAGAAAAATAGCACAGCAAGTAAGATGCTTGTCCTGCATGCAGGTGGTCTGGGTTCGATCCCCCCGCATTGAATACAGCTCCCCAAGCTCACCATATTGAGTCTAGCCAGGGGTGGTACCCCCCCTCCCCCCCAAGACAAAAAAGACTATGTAGGAAGGATCTGCAATGATCTCTACTCCTAAACAATAAGAGGACTTTTCCTGGTAAAACAGCTACAGCTGGGATTTAATTCATGAAGCAGTCTGCACTGT